CTTCGCCTGCCTTAAAGCGGCGGTAATTTAAATGAGCGAGCCTCTTTCGATAATCGGTGTTGTGAAAAGCCTGGATACTTAAATTTCGCAATAAAAGATGATTTGTATCTTTTTTCTCTTTTTTGTTGGTAGATTTAACAGAATACAAACGTGTGTAATCAAGAATTGGATGGTAGAAATATATTTCGATGGTCTTATGGATCTCTGTTATTGCCTCTTTGATACATCGTATCGGTTACTACACGCAACATCGTGTTCCTAAAAAATGATAGTTTTCCCCGTTCGACCTGTCTTAACTGCTTCGTTCTGATCTGCGCAGGTAATATTGGACGTTCAACAATTCTCACCGGAGGAGATCACGGTGAAGACGGTCGGTAACAACGTTATTGTCGAAGCCAAACACGAGGAGAGACAAGACGAGCACGGATTTATCAGCAGACACTTCGTACGGAGATACGTCTTGCCTCCATCTCACGATGTGATCAATATTACCTCGAGCCTTTCTTCGGATGGTGTTTTAACTATCACGGCACCCAAAAAGGTAACGAGACGAAGAGGAGAGCTCGGTGGCGAATCCGAGCGAAGGACTCGCCCGACGCTTCTCGATTCGCAAAGCTAGAGCGCACTTTAGGAAAATGATCCGTTCTCTTCCTAGCCTTCTTTTGTTTTGTTTTTCTATTGTTTTTGTATCTTTTCCCCGTTCTATTTGATTCGGTATACTTATTTTTTGTTCTCAATTCCAACGTTCCGTGTGCCCTTGTAGTAGAGTATTCGTTTAGACAAGATGGTGCCGACGATTTATTCTCGACCTCAAACTACGAGTCTGCTCTAAACTATAAAAAGAACGTCACGTTGAATTAAAGACTTTCACGTGGATGAGGCACATTCGTAAAAGTATTCGTAACAATGTTTATCGACTTTAACTCGATAAATAACTCAAGGAGCAAAATTTCTGTATAATTGTAAAAGATATAGTATATAATTTTTAGTTGGTCAAAGATATATATATATATATATGTATATATACATATAATCGAATGTCTAGTAATAGTAATAAAAAAAAAAAGGTCAACTTGGAAGTAGTTAAAATCGATAAAGTCCGAAACTAGCGAGTGCTCCTCATCGAGATGTCAATTAAAAGATCAGGGAGTACTTTACGATTCACTCAGCATTGAGAAGACATCGTGAAAATACACTATAGACGTATTTGACATAGAGAGGCTAAGGGCGACATCTATATAACTGATGTGTAACTAAACAGGCTAGAGTGACGCTACGTATCAACAATTTTGATTCGAAAGGATTTTTGAAATATGGTTCAAAAGAGAATTCTTTGAAATGTGAAATATTTTCAAATTTATATAGATTTATAGCTTATGGTATTATTTTAAATAAGAATATAATATCACGAATTGCATAATTAAGTAGCGACACTATGAGCCCTAATGTTAATTTTCTGATCTTATATTAGCGTTAAAACTGTAGAACAATAGAAATACGTCGGTTCAATGACCGCTTACCTAATGCCTGTATCTCGAGGTGCTCTTCTCAAATAGTTCAAAATGTGTGAGGAAATTTCGAACTCTAATCTGACCAGATTATGGTTGCGTACGGATTGTTCAAGCACCGACCCCGTAGGGTTCACTATAAAAACAAATATAAAAAGCCTCGTTCATTTGTTTCGTGATCGCTTTTACGATCTATATAACGACTTAGTTTTTTATGTTATCATTTTCTTTCAGGGAGAGACACCTAGCGGAACTGAACGAATCATTGAAATCACGAAAACAGGAGAACCGGCGAGTAAACCGGTCAAAATAGAAACAACTACGGAAGAAAAATAATAATCACGACCGAAGTATTTTGACATAATCTTTTTTTTACATTTACGTTATATAGAGAGTTCTTTTAGTTATATAGAGACATATAGAGTTTTATATAGAGTTCTTATAAAATAATTCGGTAGAATTTTATATGATATTATAAATCGGAAAAAATTATATAAAAACACACATATATACATAACTGTTAAAACCCTTGGGTTAAATTTGTTATAAAATGATATAGAAAATTTTCATCAAGAATAATTCATCAAAGTGTACCATATATTTCTTAAATAATTGCTAATATCAAACTAGCTTCAACGTTATTGCTTTTGCTTTATCTTTTACGTATCTGATAAATTCAATACTCGATAATTTATTTAAAGTCAAAGCGTAAATTGTCATAGCAATATATTTCAATGTGTCTACTGTAAAACAAAAGTAATATCGCAGAAGCGAAAGCTTTCAATAAACCCAAACCACAAAACTACAATTTAAAAAAAGAATCCAAACCACTTAAAAGGAATACCCACGGTAAACTGTCGCGCTCCGCACCGAATCCGTCTCGTCTACATTTTCTCGTCGTGTTGTCAGCAGCCTCGTGGACCACGTAAAAGAAGTAGAGGTATGTTCACTGGTTGGTGGGTCTTCGGGTGTTCGCTGCGTCTGAACTGAACGAAAGTTTATTTACGAATGCGCCGAGCCAAGCCGGCCGGCCCTCTTATATAGCCGTGCGGCGTCGCAGTACTGAATGTTCGAGAAGTTACGCCGGCAACCGGCACCTAATGCGCATTTTCTTTCGACTCATGATTTCTATATTTATTCCATCATTTATTCAACAGCTACTCATACCATCGTGTTCCTCGTACCATAAACTATCATTCAATGACACAGTTATCGCTATTTAACTGATTTTTGTGGAAAAAACAAGCAAAATCCGAGTATTGATCGGGGAGGCAACGACGAGATTTCTGGCACAATCTCCCACCTGGTCCCCACCATAACCTCACTCACACAAACGTACATTTCCTTCCTCTATACCTATATATTTACACTTCGAATGGTTGGATTATGTGCGTGATAGAAACAAGGAACGACTAACCTCGTATTATTTGGCTATTTGTTTTCGTCGTAACGTCAGGGGAAAGGGCTACTCCTTAGAAATACTACGTAGTTTCCGAAGTCAAGGACAGTTTGAGGTTGTCTTTAACGATGCCATTTACTACGCGTGATTTTTCAGAAGCTTATAGGCCACGCCTCGTTCGTCGTTAATTATTTTAACAATACAAACATCGAATCTTTGGAAACATTTTTCGATCTCTTACAATGTTAGCTTGCATTCAACAAGCAAAACGAGTATTTTACCTTTACATGAGTGCTTCTCTTGTTTGTGCTATCTTTAATAACTCGAGATAAGATTTCATTTTTGTTCTTCTGCAAGTATGAGTGAGATGACGTTGTTATCGTACATAAGTCTATAGATGGTAATGAACAATTCGGTGCATATCTTTATCAAAATTATTGCTGAATCACTAATCAAAGGGACAGGTCACAACAAGTGATCTTATATGATCAATTTTCGAAAAACACACATTTCTAGAAAATATTAAGTATCTATTTTTTCCATTGAGCGCGAATACCAGAAGTTCGTTCTGTGAAGTCACTCTCAAGGTGGGGAGAGCAATGGTCAGTTAATGAAGCAAAATCCCGGCCAGATTACATGGCGTATTTCGTCATGAAAGCTGCGTAGTTATCCCAAAACATATGTTTGCTAGAAACGAATTCCATCGATACGGTAGGACAGAAAGGTAAATAAAAGGAGGATAAGGAAGCTCGTTACTTTAAGACAATTCGGAGGCACGGTCATAACTCTGACCCATGTCACGCAATAATAGCATCATGTTTGCAAACATACACGAGCTACGTATATGTATAGCGTGATACAGGTCAGCATTCTGAGGTTAATGAGGTTGATCATGGCAGGAAAAGTAACGTGACACGTTAATCACGTGTTAATTTTATCGCATTTACTCAATCACGTGTCACAATGACCTTCCAAAACCAACGACGCTTATGCAAAGGGCGCGTATTATTGCGCAATACAGGCTTCACGTGACAGCTGTAGCTCTATCGATTTTTCGTATGCGTCTTCTGACCTAATGCGTAGTATCTTGCTTGAAGGGCGCGTAACTAATGCAAGTTTATTCATGGGAATAAGAATCGTGGCCAAGATCCCTACGATATAAAATCTTTTGTGCAGCTTTTCAAACATGTAATATACAATAATGAAAACTGGAATAATTTTAAGGGTTGAATGATGAAAGGAAAATTACCAGGCAGCCTGGCCATAGAAGCGGCAGCATAAAGCTGAGCAGATGTTCGCGATAAATTCACACACAACCGGGAGGGGCAAGAACAGAACCGGAATATGTCTATCGACATATGTATCCAGCTGGATGCAGACCGCGTGTCTCCTAATGTTTTCATTGCTCTCTCAGGTGCACGAATGCGTAACATTCTGGAATGATACGGTTTTGTAGCTGCTTAACAACTCGATATATACATATACGCATGTATATGTGTGTATAATATAGTCGGACGATGCTCGTATGGAATACTATAAATTTAATATCTAGGTTGTCTATGCAACCGCTGAGTCGTCGGATATATTTAAAAACTAACATATAGTTCACGATACTGATCTTCACATGGCTTAATGCATTGTCACGTTCGTGGTGTTTGTGCGCCTTGCTGATTATGGATGTTCAACATTTAAACGTTGTTTTATCAACCGTTGCGTCGCACGCAATAGCGGCCATCTTCTTATCGACCGAGTTCACCATTTAATACGTTTTAACGTCGCGTCAACTACACATATACATGATATTAGCAACGATAATGAGGATTGAAAATATTATGGGGATTCAATTTTGTTATATAACATCGTGCTTATCAAGAAGGAGAAAAATTTGGTTTCTGTCATTGAGATTTTGGATTTTATTCTCATAGAAACAAATAATATTATTAACAATAGAAGAAACGAATCAATTGAAAACAGAAACAACGTGTTTCAAATGCTCCAGTCTCGGTCTCCAGAACGTTCCATGGATGGATGCAGCGGGTAATCGATAGTTGCAGCGGTTGAATTTTATTCTATATATATAGAATAAAACTCACATATGTGTGTGTGTGTATCACGCGCACGCGTGTGTATAGAAAAATAGAAAAACGTCCATCTATATGTATATAATAAATGTACCAGAGTACTTGTAATGACGTGCTTTTGATCACGTACTCTTGGGTCGTTCCTTTTGAACGAGTAGAACAACGTTTAAACGCGCAATTAGCCCTGATCTCGGAAAAGTAAAATTCTCATGAATTGTTTGGAAATATATTACGCGTAAAGCTATGTCGAAATATATGGGAGGTTTCCTTAATTACAGCTTACGCAGATACGCACAGTTAGACCAAATTATACATTACACGATTAATACATATTCCGCTGCGGCTACTATAACCTGAGAACTATCTCCCTGTTTTGTGTTTCCTCTTTGTTTTTACAACATGTTGCGGTTAGAAATCCGATACCGTTTACATATAGGGTAGCGATGCACATAAAAACAAGTCGTTGATAAAATTTATTGTCAAAGAGCTTTAAAGTAAAAATTAACTCTTTAAATAATCGATTCGTTCATTAATACGGCACCTCAATCTGGTGAAATAATTGCATGTCTATAACTGGTGGTTATTTAGTGGTGCTCCTGACGGTATATTTTATGAAAAAAAGTATTAAGACGTTGTGTGGAAGAACTAATAATAGGTTTATACCCAATGATTATCACCTCGTTTCACGTATTGATCTTTTCATAATAAAGCGCAACTCGGAAAAAACAAACATTTGTTTCCATTACGTTTCCATTTTCGTCTAGACTGGTATGATATTCATTATACATAGATAAAATGGTTACAGGGACACGTTGCACGTCAACTTTACTTTAATAAAAAAATAAAAAGGTAATGATGCTTCCAATTCTAAGAAATTTTATAACTTCAGATACTGCAAATGCAATTTGTGAATTGAAAATAAAATACACAACTGGCAAGCAGGTGTTTTGTTACATCGTAAGTAATTTAACCCCCAAGACGTAGAACACAAGTGTGATCGGAGCTTAAAATTCTAGAGCCGCCCTATTGATTCAAATTGTGACGACGTATTTGTGGAACATGAATCTGCGCAGAATTTTCATGTCAGAAATAAACCTTTCCACGTCGTCACTTGACTACGTTCTTAAAGTAATTATTTGTTTAGTGTGTACATACATTGATTAGATTGGTTCATTAAAGCAGATCATTGAGGAAAATGCTGAGCACTTTGAGAAAATAGAATAGCTTTAAATAGAAATCGTATGAACTGTATGATTAAAAAATACTTGAAAGATACTCTGACACACTAAATACTGTATGTACCTACTTAGATGAAATTACGTCTCATTTCGATTTTTTAATGAACTTAAATATATTTTTTGTATATAAATATATGAATTTTTAAATTAGACATATTGAGAATTGTTGCATCACTTAGTACAAGTTACTCTCATATCATCCGGCAATATTAAATAATTTGAATTAAAGAAATCGTTACATTATTTATACATCCTACAACTACATAACCATAAAATAATTAATCTATAAATCACACTTACACTGTTAAATAGTAAGTAAGTGATGTCAATTTTGTTAAAATAATACAAGATGAGATAAATATATACGAGATAAATGCAATATACGTTGATGGAAATACAGTGCACGCTATACTTTAACGTGCAGCGACACCCGTGGTGGCGTCATTGAACTACTTTAGGTATTATGGAATACTGTTGCTAACGGTCGATAATGAATAATCGTACCTTAACGGTTATCAAGCAGCTTCCTCGCCCTTTACTAATACGAGATTTTCTTCCTTAAAATTTTTTTCTTCTTTGGCATGTATATCTTGCAACGATGCTTTAATCGACTTCATTTCTATATACCTAAGATGATCTTGTAGGTCCTGTACGTCCGCTTTTTTCTCCGCAAACAGATACACATATGTATATGTTCCAAGGAAAGCACCTGCAGTCGGTCCGAACCAGTAAATCTAGAAAAATTTTTATGAAAGCAAGAAAAAATAACGATTATCGCTACTTATGATATAATCTAATCAGCGCACTGTGAACAAATATTTGCACTGCTCTTTTCTCAAACCTACGAGGTATCATCTCCGAACCGATAACGTTAACAAGGGAAATCTAAAGTGCGGAAACTTGTTTTTTATCGAGTACGATGAAGATTAAAGTTTAAGATCGTAAGATTATATAAAATATTACGCTGGAAAGATTTGTGTTAATCTTGCAGAGGCATCAAATAAATTATATTATTCAGTAATAAAACTCAGCTCACCCATTGATCCGTCCAATTCCCATTCCAAAACGCTGGGCCGAAAGTACGCGCAGGATTCATACTACAACCAGTGTAAGGACTCTAAAAAAGTATATTTTCCAAAATATACACATGAATAAATTTCTTGTGTTTTCTAAGCTGCCATATTTTTAATTGTGAAACTTTTTACCGCCGCGAGTGAAATGCCAACAACAGAGAACCCAAATCGGATCGCCGTGGAATCTGTTGTATGAGCGCACCTTGGGTCCCAAGTAGCGCACGCTGCGCAAAGTATGAACGACGTGCAAAGAATTTCGATTAAAATGGCTTGCGTGGTGTTGATTCCAGGATGAACGACAGTTACACAGTGACCCACCGATGAATTAGAATATCCATCATTGAACAACTCGGGCGGAGTTATTGTCTGTTCCATTAAAATTACAATTAAACGAACGTTCAGTACAGTAGTTAACAAGATTTTATCATCGCGATATATCTATGACGTATCGGTTTATCGTTAAAGTCTGACGTCAGATTAGTGTAAGAAAGATAATTTTTCATCTTCTAATCGTATAAAAATTTACAAAGAATGCTTTAAACTCGTGTAATACGTATACAAAGTGTTATGTAATATGTTCGATCAATATAATAATTTATATATATGCATAAGTGAAAATTCGACGTATATCGCGTATAATTACTGTCTATAGCGATTTAAATTAGTTCAAAATTATGTGATACGTTTTATACAAATACAAAGATACAAAGTTATTACAGAAAAATCGATCGTTTTAGTTAATTATGTTCGTACAGTAGTAATGAAACTAAAAATTCGTACCATTAGTAATCCATATCCGATAGTAGCTCCAATAAATTGTGCTATTGCATAGAGAATACCCGTTGGAATGGTTTTAATTCCAAGAATAACTGCCCCTATGGTGACAGCAGGATTTAAATGAGCACCGCTTATATGTCCTAACATCTATAATAATAATTAGATTTTCTATAATCGCAGTGATAAATTAAATAAATAATCGCAATATTACAACGGGCCTCATAAAACTTATTTCTCTTTTCTTCGATTTTTTTTTCTTTTTTACAAAATGTAAAATATTCTTACCATAATCAAAAGGTTGACAGTCATACCGAACGCCATAGATGTCTGTAATGGCGGTGGCAATATCGGTCCCATCGTCCCTAAAGAACCCATGCAACCAATGAACAGAAGTATCGCAGTGCCCAGCACTTCGGCGATGAACATCGTGGTCGTACCCTTTTGCACAGACCACATTGAGCCTGAAAAACACCAGAACACGTTGAATTCTTTCATCAGGTTCCGACTAATTTCGATAAACTCACTTTGGGAATCTTTGCTGCGGGTGTCGTTCTCCATGGTATCCCTGCGAGCCTTTAACTTGAACTAACAGCTACCGTAACGATGCTTTTACCGCAATCAGTACTCGAATTCCGTTCGACAATACTAATCATCGGTGGCTATCATACTCCGCAATAATGTGAAAAAAGAGAGTCTTATCGAAGAGTGTGAACGATATGTTGCATTCTTTGTCCAATCAGTGCTTGATTATGCAGCTCAAGAGGAGTTACAAGAAATTTCATGTTTTTCCAAAGCTCTGACTCAGAGCTTACGTTAGATCCTATCAAAAGACATCGTACAGCTTTACTAACCTTTTTGTGGAAGAAGATTTTATTACCGGTAAGGGAAAAATTGCACGAGTTACATAAATGCTACAAGCAAATCGCACGCGCATTTCAAGAAAATGACCAGAACACGAGTAAACGTTTTGAACAATCTTCGAACCCCGATTTATTCATAGATGATATTTTGGTCGGAATAGACATGAAATTATAGCGTTCACTTTGCATACGGACGTGTTCCGCGTTGCAACCGCAAATAAACTTCGTAAAGTGCGTATTAAATAAATTGCACCAATTTTCGATTCTAAACTCGAAAATATTTGCATTACAATTTCATAAGCTGGTAACAATTTTTCTACGGTCAATCGTTCCATCCGACTTTCCACGCAAGCGCCAATAGTCTTTGTCTGTTAGTATTTTTCGCAGCAGTTCAAACAGAGTTCTACCGTACGTTCGAAGGCACGAAAAAAGTAATATCAATCGATATGAGTGAGAAAATCGGAAATTCTACGAATTATCGCAACGTCCATTACGAAGCGGACGCCGAATACACGATACATATTGCCAAGACATTGTTGAAACTAATCGGAATCTGGCCTAGAAGGGATACGTTCTTAGATAACGTTAAAATGTATATCCAAACAACGATAGTTTTTTCCCTTATGTGTTTCTTATTAGTACCACACGTGATTTATACTTATTTCGATTGCGAAAATCTGACCAAGTACATGAAAGTAATCGCCGCGCAGATTTTCAGCCTTTTGGCGGTTATCAAATTTTGGACGGTAATTTTTAATAGAAAAGAAATTAGATTTTGCTTAGACCAAATCGAAATACAATACAGGGACGTGAAATGCGAAGAGGATCGGCTTGTAATGACCAATTGTGCAAAGATTGGTCGATTTTTTACAATGATGTATTTGAGCCTTAGTTACACCGGTGCTTTGCCCTATCATATTATTTTACCTCTAATATCAGAGAGAATCGTGAAAGCTGATAATACCACTCAGATACCTTTGCCTTACTTGAGCGACTATATTTTCTTCACTGTCGAAAATTCACCGATCTACGAGATCACGTTTGTCTTGCAAATATTCATCAGTAGCATTATACTGTCTACGAATTGTGGGATTTATAGCCTGATCGCCTCTATAACGATGCACTGTTGCGGCCTGTTCGAAGTTACCAGTAGAAGAATCGAGACACTTCATAAATGGAACAAATGCGATTTACATGATCGCGTTGTTGATATCGTTCAGTACCATTTGGAAGCGATTGGGTAAGAATTTTTATATTATTTAGTAATTAAGTTTATAGCGTTAATAAATAAATCAATAAGTATCGTTTTATTATTGCATTTGGTATTAACGAATTTTACATTATTTGTGTGTGGGGCTTGAGAATAATAGAATATAGGACTGTATTTATAACACTGCAGGGTTTGTGGATCCAAAAATTCTACCGTAGATAGATCGTATCATACTCGTGGAATACAGTGATTTTAATTTATACTACGCACAGAAATACTTTTAGTACACTGAAAACATATAGAATTTATCTATTATTAATTATTTTAACAATCAATTATTAAATAAAATAACAATAATAATGATAATTTACGTGTAGCATAGCCTATTACCCTGAGGTTGTTGCTTCTTCCAGGAATTAATTGCAATAATTAATAGTCAAGGAATTAACTATATCTTATTCTCACATTGAATGTATAATTCCTATATTATATTGTTATTTTACTGTGTTTATTAAACAAAATGTAAACACTTCTTTATGCCAATTATCTATAATATAGATAAAAAATTACTGAAAGTTCTTTTGACATATAGAATTTATACATATATTGAATATGTAAATACACGTATATGCAATGACTACTTTTTGTGGGCAAGCTTTACGATGTACGTATTTGAAAATGTTTATAAAAGGATTTCACGTGCATCTTACAGATAAACTACATATCCCACTGTGTTAGGAGAAATATATATTTGTATTACATATTTAAATGGTTATATTATATATATTTAACTATGTGTTTATCCAACATAGTTGGACTTTATGTATGTTATTATCAAGAACATAAGTTATATGTTCCTGACTAGAACTCTATGTAACTCAATGCACATTTCCGTAATCGTCGAAACAAATTTCCCTTCTGCTATTCGGTCCCTTCTGTAATTCAGTCCCTTCTGTAATTCAGTCCCTTCTGTAATTCGGTCCCTTCTGTAATTCAGTCCTTTCTGATGGGAGAGAGTTGTTAAACCTGCTCTTCGAAATATTGATCTTTAATTAATTTAATTCTGCCTTAACTGTTATTATAAACCTATGCCCCTACTGGATGTCTCTTGACATATTTTATTATATAGATATATTACATTATACATTAATACTCTATCCAATAAGTACCTAGACATTTTGATTGATTTATAGCAATAGTATGTAAATTTTATCAAAGTGTATATATTAATGATGAATTAGTGATCAAAAACAACATTTATGGAATGTGTCTTTTATACAATCATCAGGCTATAAATCTAAATTACTCATTAAAAATATAGTAATAATATATTTTTCTGTTTACTTTATAATATACACATATTTAATATTTAAATATCATTGACTGTATTAGTATCAGAAATAGCTGTATCAGTTCAGAGTATTCCTCTTTCAATCTGACAAATAATTCGAAAATTAAAAGAATCTGAAAATAAAGATGCTCTCAACTAACAAAATAGTTGTATAACAATTACAAACAATAACAATTACAAATGCCAATTTCATTATTGCATACTAATTTCCAAAATTCAGTTTAATATATTATACACTATATATACAATATAATATATATATTGATTTTTTTAAATAGATTTTATTTAATATACTATAACATATTAGACCTATATATATAGACCTATTAATATACTATAACATATTATTATACGCAATTATGACGATTATAAAAAATATAATCATTGGAGTTTGATGTGTGATCGTAATTAAAATACATCTTGTCGAAAACAAACAAGTGTCGAGATTGTTTCAATGGTATATTCCATATAGTAACACACATTAATCTTTTCTTATCAATCTTTTCTACACATATATCTTTTTGATTACATCTGTTTGACGTTAAAAAATACATTGCAGATACTCTGCATTGATTGGAAAATCACTCAGCATCGTATTTTTATCGGAGATGGTTGGCTGTACCATTATAATATGCTTCCTAGAATTCGGTGTGATCATGGTATAACAGAATGTAGTACTTAATTAAAATAAAAAAGAAATGAAATAATACGAGTTACTATAATCCACTGTTTTTCTAGGAATGGGAAGATCATAAAACGTTGAGCACACTAACATATTTCGTATTAATGACATCGATTTTCGTAAATGTGTTTATAATATCGTTCATCGGTGATCGTCTGAAACAAGAGGTACTCCTCCAATTTCAAACAAATCTGTTTTAATCAAACATGTTTGAAGTAAATTCCGATATTAATTCATATACGTCTTCCTTTTTTTTATATCGCTTTATTTACTGAAAAGAGCGAGAGGATAGGGGAAACATCGTACTTTCTACCATGGTACGATTTTCCGGTGGACGTAGCGAAGAATATAAACACAATCATGCTCAGAACCAGACTACCATCGTGTTTGTCTGGAGCGAACATATTGGAAATCTCGCTTCAAGCATTTTGTGACGTAAGTGCCCATACACATTATTTTAAATATATCGATAGAAAACTTTTTGAGCAGAGGAAGGATTATTGTAGGTTTGTAAAACTTCAGCAGCTTATTTCAATTTTCTGCGAGCAATGACGGTATGAAGATATTTAACAACATGTTCGAAGATAAATGTGATTAAAAATAACTAGTAACACATTGCACATGAAGATGCTTTGAGAAAGATAATAAATATTCTTTTCTTATTTATCAGACTCTTCCATTCAATACAGCAGACTCATTATTCAATAAAGCATAACAACGACCAGTACAAAGAACGAAGTATTCTTACCATAATCAGAAGATCGACGAAATCACGTCGAATTGGCGCCGCGGTCCACCACTTGGCGATGAACATTGTCGTCGTACTGTCGTGCCCTCCTGAATGGATTATATTGAGCCTGAAAAACACCGTGAAACGTTGAATTCATTCGGCGGGTCCCGACTAAATTCAATAAACTCATTTTTAGAATCTCTATTTTTAATGTGGTTCTCCGTGATGCCGCAGAAAGCCTTAAACTCGAACTAACGGCTACCGTAACGGTGCTCTTACCATAATCAGCACTCGAATTACGATGTTAATCATCGGTGGCTATCGCGCTTCGTAATGATAGTTAGAAAGAAACTATGTTACCGAGTGTGAACGATAACGTCGTATTCTTCAAATCAGCGCACGATTATGCAGTTCGAGAGAACTCACAAGAAATTTCATACATTAAATCGTACCAAAAGATATTGTATAGTTCTACTATTCTTTTCGTCGCAAACGATTTTCCTACCGATGACGGAAAACACGACAGATATTACAAGAAAATGATCGAAACATGGATAAACGTTTTGGACAATCTTCGAATTGCGATTTATTCATACGAGACGGTTCAATCGGAATGGATATAAATTGTAGCGTGCGCTTTGCAGCCGAGCACGTAGTTGCGCTACTTCCGGGAATAAACTTCGCGAAGTACGTATTAAATAAATTGCACTAATTTTCGAATCTGCACTCGAAATATTTGCATTACGGTTTCATGAGGTTGTAACAAATTGTCTTCGGGCAATCGTTCCATCTGATTTTCCACGCAAGCGCCAATGGTCAATGTCTGTTAATACTTTTCGCAACCTTTCGAACAGTGTTCTATCGCACGTCGCAAGAAATAGGAAGCTACACATACTATCGGCCGACATGAGCGAGAAAATAAAAAATATAATTTATCGTAACGACCATTACAAATCGGATTCCGAATACGTGATGCACATCGCCAAGACATTGTTAACGCTGATAGGAATTTGGCCTAGAAAGGATACGTTTCTAGATAACGTTAAAATGTATATCCAAACAGTAACAATTTTTATCCTCATGTGTTTCTTATTAATACCACACGTGATTTATACTTATTTCGATTGCGAAGATCTAACCAAGTATATGAAGGTGATCGCCGCGCAGGTTTTTAGCCTTTTGGCGATCATTAAATTTTGGACTCTAATTTTTAATAGAAAAGAAATTCGGTTTTGCTTGAACGAGATCGAAATACAGTACAAGGACGTGAAATGCGAGGAAGATCGGCTGATAATGCTGAATTGTGCAAAAATTGGACGATATTTTACAATGGTATATTTGGCCCTTGGTTACTCTGGTGCTTTGCCCTACCATATCATTTTGCCTTTAATATCGGAGAGAATCGTGAAAGCTGATAATACCACTCAGATACCTTTGCCTTACTTGAGTGATTATGTTTTCTTCGTCATCGAAGATTCACCGATCTACGAGATCACGTTTGTCGTCCAGATGTGCATCAGTTGCATCATAATGACTACGAATTATGGAATTTATAGCTTGATTGCTTCTATAACGATGCATTCTTGCTGTTTGTTCGAAGTTACCAGTAGAAGAATCGAGGAGCTTCGTAAATGGGATAAACGAGATTTACACGATCGCATTGCTGATATCGTTCAATGTCATCTGAAAGCAATTGAGTAAGAATTATTATATTATTATATGTAATACATATTACGTCATATTATTATATGTAACGAGTTTTTCTTTGTTATATGTAAGGTTTGAGTACAAAGATCGCAGGTTTATTAATTTAACCCTGCAGAGGTCGTGGTCCTAAAAATTTTGCCGTAGATCGTGATGTATCCGACGAATATACAATAACAAAAGTTAATCTTATTTTATAAACTGTTAACCTTTTTTCATAAATATATTCTATAAAAATATCAATTTTTATGTAAAAATAGATACAATTTATCGTTATTAAAATATCAAATGTCTATAACATATATGTATAACAAATGATAGTACTATATACTCGTAAGTATAGAAATATCTTAGATCCACAGTAATAAACGAAATAACAAAAATATTCGTTTAAATCGACGATCTGTACGTGGAATATATAAATTTCATTTGTTATAACAGCTGTTTTTGGAGGCAATCTTTGTAACGCATCTGTTTAAAAATATTTACAAATCAACTAGGATCTCCACAGGGTTAACAAAATGATATTGTTGTATATTGTATATGTATGTATTTAATGGCTATACTATGTTTCACTACACGACCATACAACAAAATTGCACTTTACGTAAAAATGTTATCAAGAGGTAGTTCCCAAGATTTATTCTCGTTATTATTGTATCTATACGCGTCGGAACAACACTTCACTGTTGTTATGCACCCTGCTTTCTGTTCGACTAGTCAGCGCGGTTTCTCGATGCTTTGGTCGCTATCATCCATCATCGCTACCATCGTTAAGGTATTCGTTCGAAATATTTGTCGATAGCAATATGATCTCGACCATACACCTAGTTAGTTTTCACATAGTATATATTTACTTATATTAATAATTTTTTAATTTCTTCCTAATTACAACTGCTTTTGTTTGACGTTAAAAAATGACTTATAGATACTCTGCAGTTATTGGAAAATCTCTTAGCTTCGTATTTCTATCGGAGATGGTTGGCTGTACCATTGTAATATGCTTCCTAGAATTTGGCGTGATTATGGTATAGCAGAATTTAATATTTAATAATACGAAAGAAATTGAACAATAAAGAATGTTATAATCCACTATTCTTTAGGAATGGGAAGATCATAGAACATTCAGTACAATAACATATTTCGTGTTAATGACATCGATGTTTGTAAACGTGTTTATAATATCGTTCATTGGTGATCGTCTCAAACAAGAGGTACGCCTCCAGTTTCAACCGATCTCTTTTTATCAAACATATTTGAAGTAAATTTCGATATTAATTCATATACGTCTCCCTTTTTTGATGCCGCTTTATTTACTGAAAAGAGCGAGAGAATAGGAGAAACATCGTACTCTCTGCCATGGTACGATTTTCCGTTGAACGAAGCTAAGAATGTAAGGACAATCATACTAAGAACTAGATTACCATCGAGTTTGTCTGGGGCTAAGATATTAGATCTCTCGCTTCAAGCATTTTGCGACGTAAGTTCCGTATGTATATATGTTTTTTAAATCGTAGTAGTAGCAAAACTTTAAACAGAAAAAGAAACGAAGATAATTTTAGGTGGTTAAAACTTCAGCGGCATATTTCAATGTTCTGCGTGCAATGGCAGCATGAAAATTCAAGCAAAAAAAGATTTCTACTATATTCAACAACATATACGAAAATAAATGTGATTAAAAATAAATATTAACACATTACACATGAAATTGTTTGAAAAAAGATAATAAACGTTTTCTTTTTGTTTATTTCTCTCCTTCATTCTGTCCACCATTTTATTCAATACATATTGTGCCTACTATTTTATGAAATAACTACATGAACAACTCATTCCTCCCTACTATAGTTCTTTAAAATGACTAACTGTTAGAAATTGCGGTCCGTGAAATCCCTGCAAAAATGAAAACAGAAAATGTTTCTTGGAAGATCATTGAATCAGCATTAACAAAATGAATTATGAGCAAACACGAAGATGCAACGAACCTCTGCAAAACTCTGTAGAAACACATAATTTTCTGGATACAGATATGATATTTCTACGGGAAATTATATTTTACTAGATTATAGAGGGATAGAGCGGAAGGGGATAGTGGCGATGCATTGGTTCAATTCAGTAACTTGAAAAGTTTTCACCATATTTGCCGGAAATCGATCTCTAAATTACTCTCAAGATACGTATAATTTCGCAAAATGATTACTGCGATTATTAGATACGACAGTAGACCATTCGATACTCACCTCGCGATGCTTAAAAATTTATAAACGCAAACGCAAGCGTATGCCTGCCGTTTGAAAGGGGTAGTGGTGCTTCCCTTTGTAAGCATTTCATCACGCACATTTGACCAATCGAGCTTGAGCTTTCAGCCACTGGAAAAAGAAAATGACGAAAACAAAAGAAGCAAAAGATGAAAAAGGAATAGAGAAGGATTTGAAGCAAAGTTTAAGATACGTGGAACCCTTTATAATGGCACTCGGTGCCTGGCCACTTCCTCCAGAATCGTCGTTGTGCATGAAGATATCACAACGGGTTATTCGTTTCATTATTATTTCCTTGGCGTTGTTCTTCGTCAGTCCAGGTTTTTACTACGTATTCTTCAAGGAAAAAAGCAACAAAAGGAAACTGCAAATAATAACGACGTACATCAACAGCTTCGTCCAGTTGATCAAGTACATTATTATATTGTACAGGATGAAAGATATAAGAATACTATCGGAGGAGATAAGGAACGATTGGCTACACAGCACAGAAGAAAATCGACGACTCTTTCGTGAGAACGCGAAAATCGGTGAAAGAGTGGTGTTCATAGCGGCCTTCACTTTGTATTCTGGTGGTTTCTGCTATCGAACTATTCTTCCACTTACAAGGAGCAGTATTGTTTTACCGAATAATATTACTATACGAATATTACCCAGTCCAACGTACCTTCCATTTATCAACGAACAGATCACTCCATATTATGAGATAATTTTCGTATTACAAGTTTTGAGTGGTTTTTGCATCTACACAGTATTCAGCGGAGCCATTGGGATCATGATGATGATATGCTTGCATACATGCGGCTTAATAAGGATTTTAATGGACAAATTGGTGGATCTCACCGACAAGTCGAATACCAGCGAGGAAATTATTCAAGAGAAGATGGCAAATATCGTCGAGTATCATGGGAAGATCAAAAAGTAAGTGGAAGATTGGAGAACTCATGATAAAAACAATTTGTGTAAAATTTTTCCATTTAATTTTTAAAAATTACGCATTTCAATAGTGAGAATGCAAAGCTCGTACTGGAATCGTTATTATACAAGAACATCTGTGTCTTAACTTAAAGTCGAATAAATTTTAAACCGCTCGATAAAAATTTTGGTTATTAGGACCACACTTTCTCGATATTATTGGCCACATTGAAGATATTAGATTAATGATTAACTTGATTTCTTTATTAGAATAGAATAGGCAACGTGAAGACAAATTTCTTGTAATGAGTTCTTTAATCGAATCCAAGGATTTGTTCAGTGACGAAGTATCAAATATCATATTCATAGCGTCCATCATCTTCCTTTCAGATTCTTAAGTAACGGACAACAGCTCTCCGAGTACATTTCCTTTCTCGAGCTCTTTAACGGCGCGGGTATTGTCTGTTTGATAGGATATGCTGTCATAATGGTACGAGCGATATAAAAATAAGTTGATTAGCTTTTTTTAAATAAATCATAGATTATATTTCAGGAGTGGGAAAATCTTAATCCCGTCACTATAGTGGTGTGCTTTACACTGCTAACAACTTTCACGTTCACCTGCTATACGATCTGTTCTATTGGCCAACTTCTTCTCGACGAAGTACGTAGACTGCGGATATTTCTACAAATTCATAACACGTGTAGACACAACTAAAGATATACAGTCTAAGCACAGGTCTTTTTCAGCTTCTAAATATCACGAGTATTATATTCTCGATATTTTATACATTATAATAGATACGTCATAATGGACACCAGAATTTGGAAACTGTGCTACTATCGTTAATTCAAATAAATAATAGAAATCTTTTTCTCTTAGCATAATTGATAATTAATTTACTTAATTGTAGATTAGTTATAAAATAACACAACAGTTTGTCAACGGTAGTTAATGTGGTTACTGTATTCATAAAAATCTAAATTTGCACAAACATCTGCACTTTATTATTACGCAACACTCTTAATATCACTAATAACACGAACTTTGTTGTCAACTTTCTTGCCAGAGTAATAATCTTGCACAAACGTGCGTCACGTTAAACTGGTACCGTCTCCCGATGAAACAGGCTCGGTATGTGGTACTAATGATGATTATGTCGAATGATCCGATGAAATTGACTGCGGTGAAAGTGATGGATGTATCTTTATCGACCTTTAGCGATGTAAGTACATATTAAGACTGTAATCTCGCAAAAATTTGTTCGCACTGCAAAATATATTTTCTAGATTATGAAAGCGTCAATGGGATATTTAAATATGCTACGGAACGTGACTTAATGTCTTATTAATTTTGCACAAAACTTATGAGGCGTAGTATAGTGTCACTTAGAGATCTTATAGCAATGAATGCCGAGGTATATTTTTTATTTTAGTTTGCTAGATTTTACAGTTCCTGGACTACGTGTTTCCAGACACTTATGCAAATACCGAAATTTCAAAATTTCTTGTATAATAACTGCATGTAATATATTTCTGAAAGCTTTGTATAAGTGTTCAAATTTTTTCGCGAACCACTGCAACAAAGTATCAGTTGAAAAGCAGTTATCGCCAAGAATGACGTAGTAGTCTGCTATCCAACTCGGCGCAGTTTCTGTCCTCCATGAAATCATTCGCATCATTCTACGATAACAGGTAATTTCAAAACCATAGTGCCCGTAATACTTTAATAATCGAACTGCAAATATGTATGTAAGATAATGTTAATCACATGGTAATTCAGGTGATCGATTCTGAAGTCTGAAAATCGAGAAGCGATTTTCAACGTCCTGAGCTACCGATCTTTCTCCGTCAATCTTCAATATTTTAAATAATTACTCTTTCTTCTATGGTCTTGTCTATCTCTGATGTTGCTCTCTGTCCGTCCGTTTGGGAAACGAGTGTCTCTCAAAATGACTGTCCGTGAAACAAAGAAAGTCGTTCTGTCTGTGAAACAAAGAAAGTCACTATCACCCTTGAACTCTAGGGAGTTTACATGTATATACATACTGTGTATACAGCTCTTCTCCCTTATGTATAATGCCCTTTTACGTCTATATCTTTTTTATTGAAACTTATTGAGTGACAATAAATAATAAACAAATTTTATCCTCTCGAAAATGTATATCATTGTAATATAATTTCGAATTGGCCGAATATTGCAAAATTTATATTAAAATTTATGTATCTATTGTTTGTACTGTCTATTTGAAAGTAGTTGGCTTCTGTGAATGATTGTGATAGAAATCTATTTGCGTCGTCATATATTTCGAAGCCGTACCGCAACTATAACGTATCGAGAAAAATATTCGTCGCTTTCTGGACAAACACTCACTTTCGTAGATTACGAAGGATTGAGCTAAGAATTTTAGAGAAGTAATCGCAGAAGCGTCTTGATATTCTGAGATTTTTAGTCATTGCCCTGCATTCTTGGACGTTCCGTTGCGTCTTTGGGCGTCGTGACGGAATCCAGGAGCTGTTTTGTTAGCACGAGGTGTTAATCATTGCCCTTCACTCTTGAATGTGTGTGTGACTCCAACGCGTTATCGCGAATCCGTATCAACTACCAACATTGGAGACATTTTAGAGACTACAATTGCACATCTCTCAGACTTCCTAGGTGTTGTGGGTATTGGGCTTTTTTCACAGCTTAGTATGTGTCGCCACAAGAGTTACTTTTCCTGGAAACGTTTCCTGGAAAATTGTTGAACCAGCATTAACAAAATGATTCATCGTCGAAAATCACGATAAAACAAAACTCCGCAAAACACTGTAGAAACACATAATTTTCTGGATACAGATATTTCGATATAAAATATGTGGTATTTCTATGGAAAATTATATGCAGAAAGGTAGATGTTCCAGGAAGCTACTAGATTATAGGGATACAATAGAAAGGGCTACTGGCGATGCATTGGTTCAATTCGATAATTTGAAAAGTTTTCACCATATCTACCGGAAATCGAACTCCAAATTACTCTCAAGATACGTACAATTTCGCATAATGATTACTGCGATTACTAAATATGATGACAGACGCCATTCGATACTCACTTCGCGATTCTTAAAAATTTATGAACGCGAACGCAGTCTCTGTCTATGCCGCTTGAAAGGAGTAAGGGTTTTACCCTCCGAAAGAGGTAGTGGTCTTGCTCTTCGAAAGGAATTTCATCACGCACACGTGACTAATCGAGCTCGAGCTATCAGACATTGGAAAAAAATATGATTAAAACAGAAGAAGAATCAAATAAAGAAGAAAGGGAGAGGAACTTGAAACAAAGTTTAAGATACGTGGAGCCTCTTTTAATGGTACTAGGTGCCTGGCCACTTCCTCCAGAATCATCGTTGTGCATGAAGATATTTCAACGTGTTATTCCTGTCATTAGTATTGTCTTGGCGTTATTTGTCATTTGTCCGATTTTTTTTTATATAATCTTCAAAGCAAGAGGCACCAGAAGGCAAATGGAACTGTTGTCGGCGTTTATCAACAGTCTGATCCAGTTGATCAAGTATATTATCATGTTGAACAGCATGAACGATATAAGAACGCTGTTGAATGAGATAAAGAACGATTGGTTATACGGTACAGAAGAAAATCGACGACTCTTTCGCGAGAACGCGAAGATCGGTGATAGAGTGGTGTCCATAGTGGCCATCACCATGTACTTTGGAGGTTTATGCTATCGTACGATTCTTCCTCTTTCGAGGGGCACAATTATTTTACCGGATAATACTACTATAAGACTATTGCCAAGTTCAACATACCTCCCATTTATCAACGAACAGATCACTCCGAATTACGAGATAATTTTCGTACTGCAAGTTTTGAGTGGTTTATTCATCTACACAGTATTCGTCGGTGCCATTGCGATTATGATGATGATATGTTTGCATACATGCGGCTTACTAAGGATTTTAACGGACAAATTGATGGATCTCATCGACAAGTCGAATACCAGCGAGGAAATTATTCAAGAGAAGATCACAAATATCGTTGAGTGTCACAGGAAGATCAAAAAGTAAGTGGAAGATTGGAGAACTCATAACAAAAACAATTCGTGTCTAATTTTTCGATTTCTTTGATAATTACGCATTTCAATAGTGAGAATGCAAAGCTCATAATGGAATCGTTATTATACAAGAACATCTGTGTCTTAACTTAAAGTCGAAGAAATTGTAAACCTTTATAAAACTCCATAAAAACTTTTGTCATTAGGACCATACTTTCTCGATATTATTGGCCACATTGAAGATACTATAATAGAAAAATCTTATGCTCCTTATATTCTCTATTAGAATAGAATATTCAACGTGAACAAAAATCGTTCTTGTAATGAGTTCTTAGTCGAATCCGAGGATTTGTTTAGTGAAAGTGTCAAATATCATATTCATATCATCCATCATCGTCCTTTCAGATTCTTAAGTAACGGACAACTGCTCTCCGAATACATTTCTTTTTTTGAGCTCCTTAATGGCACGATTATTATCGGTTTGCTAGGATATTGTGTTTTACTGGTACGGGCAATATAAAGTCAAATTGTCAGTTTTTTTTTAAATAAATCATAGAATATATTTCAGGAATGGGAAAGTCATAATACCGTCGGTTTAGTGGTGTACATTACATTGCTAACAACTTTCACGTTTACCTCCTACACGATTTGTTCTATTGGCCAACTTCTTCTTGATGAAGTAGGTAGACTACGGGTATTTCTATAAATTCATAATACTTGTAGATACAACTGAAGAAATACAGTCTAAGCACAAGCCTTTTTCAGCTTCTAAATATAACGAGTATTATATTCTCGATATTTTATACATTATAATTGATACGTTGTAGCGGACACTAGAATTTTGGAAACTGTGCTATTATTGTTAATTCAAATGAATAATAGAAATCCTCTTTTTCTTAGCATAACGATAATTTATTTATTTAATTGCAGATTAGTTATAAAAGAACACAACAGTTTGTCAGCAGTAGTTAGCGCGTTTATTGTGTTCATAAAAATTTAAGTTTGTACAAACATCTGCACTTCATTATTATGCACCACTTTTAATATCATTAATAACATGAACTTTGTTGTCAACTTTTTTACCAGAGCAATAATTTTGCACGAACGTGCGTCACGTTAGACTGGTACCGTCTCCCGGTGAGAAAGACTCGGTATATGATAATGATAATCTTTATGTCGAGTGATCCAATAAAATTGACGGCGGGCAAAGTGATGGATGTATCTTTGTCGACGTTTGGCGATGTAAGTACATATTAAACATCAGTGCCGCAAAATTTCTGTACGCTCTGCAAAATATATTTTCTAGATCATGAAAGGGGCGATGGGATATTTAAATATGCTAAGAAAAGTTAATTAATATTCTACTGATCTTGCATGAGACCGGAAAGGTATAATGTCACTTGAAAATATTATGAATCGAATCGAAGTATAATATATTCTGTACCTTACTTTACTAGTTTTTACAGTTACATGTTTCTTGACGCTTAAGTGTGTGCCTACTGAAATTTGTAAACTTTTGTATAGTATCTGCATATAATATATTTTTGAAAGCTTTATACATGTGTTTAAATTCTTCCTTGAATCATTGGTCTTAGTACTAGATTACGTTGTAAATATGTATACAAATATGTGTACTATTTGTTCCTCTTGTGCATAGTACTATCCTTTTACGCTTATCTCTATGGTAATCTTCATTCACATCCGCTGCAAACTACGCAGCCGGTGAGAAAGCTTCTGTCGAGAATTAGAGAACATCGTAGTCATATTTATTAGGGATTTATTGTGGAACAAAATGAACGAGCTTTCGAATCATTCAGATACAAATGAAGACGTTGTACAGAAGAAGATCGTAGGTATCGTTGAACATCAAACGAGACTCAGAGAGTGAGCTTTTTTCCTTGAATAGCGTATAAGATAGTGTACTATTTTCCACAAAGGCAATTGGTATATAGTTTAGCTTTCAAATATATGATTAACGCGATTTCTCAAGTAATCGGTACGAGTAATTTTCCAGTGAGAGTCACTTCTATGATTTTCTATGATCTTATTAATTCTAGGTTTTTCGTGTTATATCTTATCGTGTACGTTATAACTTGTTCTACTGTAGTTGAAGTATTTACACTCTTCTTTAGTTATTCATTTCTTACACTTAAAATTAGATAACTTGGATATTTTAGAATTAAATGTGCGAAGTAGCGTAAATGTTACAGAATTGGATAAAATATTTTGAGAAAATAAATAACTGATATAAATAATCAATAAAACTGTATTCACAATATGCTACATTGATCAATTCCTTATCGACCAAGTATTCAATCGATTATGTTTTTAAAGTAAATACCACATCCACGTGATGTTTATTGAAAATTTGATTTTTGATAGAGCGGAAATATCAAGCTAATGTCTATTACGTTGAACTGGTACTGATTTTCGTCGAAAAAAATGCGCTGCTTGATATATCAGTGATTATTATGTCGATTTATCAAATAAAAGTCAC